CTAAACGTAAACGTAACGTTACGTACGTACTACGAACTAACCTACTACTACTACTACTATATATATATATATATATATATATATATATATATATATATATATAGATAACACATGGATATTGCAGTCATGGAAGTGTACCATATATTCTCCTTGAGTCAACCTCTGCCAATTTCATAAAATCTAATCCCCTATAAAACATAGTTTGCAAAAGAATGTAATTGACATAAAAGAAACCACGTATGCTCTCTGCGAAAACCATATAGCTATATTCCAACAACTTTAAAAAGCAACACGAATTCAGAAAAGGTAAAAAACCATAAACTGAGGACATCAAAATTCACTTTCATTGCTTCAAATTTTTGTGCCAATGGACAAATAAAAAGTATATAGTCTGTCACAGCTTTTAAGTGTTGCTTGTAAAGAATAATTTCAGTTAAAATCTAACATATCCTACAGCTAAATGAACCTCTGGATTCTTCCAATGAAATGAATAAGATCTAAACTTCAAAAATTAAAGAAATATAAGAGATTTGCACAATACAAAATCATTACATATCAAAATCACTGCTCCTCAGTTCCCATGTGATCCCAAACCCTAGAAATTGAGTACAGAGTCATACACAACCTAGACCCCATGTTTGAGGGAGACACACATGATCAAACAAACAAATGAAAGATTTTAAACATACTGGAGCTCTTGATTCTCAGGGTCACGGGACCTAAAGTTTCCCTTTTCTTTTCTTTTGATTAATCAGCCCTAAAGGTCTTCTTTGTGCCACTAATTTGCAGAGCAAACAAACAGGGAGAATCTGGATCTTCTCATCAGTCACCCAATAGGAAAATACACAAAAATATTACATGAACATCCCATTGATCTCACTGATATTGCTGAAAACGATCAACTGCACTCAAATTTCAAAAGTGAAAGTTTTAAGGTATAAATTTCATAACCATAGGACATGAAATTGACCTGTAACCTTTGGACCAAAGGTTATGGAGAAAAAAACTGAGCTTGGAGCTTCAAAGAAATGGCAGACTTCAAATGAGCTTTTGTTCCATAAATTGCATAAACGATGGGAGTCGCTGTCTCTCTCTCACGAAAATGGACTTTCTCTCTCTACAATATGCTTTCTCATATAAGCAGAGCGGCTCGAGTTTATCGGGACAAAAAGTTTAAGACAAACTTCAATTTTTAAGTTCTGTCCGAAAGGACGGAAGTT